AACACTCTGCTTGTTTTGCTCCTGGCAGTCCTACTGGATGCCTGTGAGGGGAAGAACCTGGGGGCAGCACATGGATGGACTGTGAAAATGGGAAAACAGCATTGATCTGTGCCTGTAACAGGATCAACTATAAAGGTATTAGACAACTTCTACTATTCTTTATCTCTACTGCTCTTGTTGAGGTATCCCACGTATGTGCAATGACTTCTGTGTTGTGCAAGAGAGGGGCAGCTTGTCATTGCATCAGGGGAGTGTGAGCTGGCATGGCCAGCCGTGATCAAGGAGCTCTGGGTGGCAATCAGAGCACACTTAGCTCTGGGATCTCTGCTGCCCACAGCACTTTAGGCCTGCAGAGGGGAAGTGCTCCCCTGTGCGTGGGCTGCACACCCCATACTGATCATGCATACAGCCACAACCTCTCTCCTCTGCTCTGACCTCACCTGCTGCAGCTGACTGATGGATCTGCCTCTCCACTGCTGCAAATGGCTGCTGCCAGACCATGTGACTTGCCTAAGAGAGAGAGTTCACTCTGAGCTTTAGGCTGTTTCATGGCAAAGATGTGTGGGTCCCAGTTGTTCTGATGGATGCTGCAGCAGGTAGACATTGTGAGGAGTCAGTTCTAATTTAATCTGAAGTCCATCAAAGAGCTTATTTTTACCACTTGGCTAAATGCATTGTTTTCCAGAGGAAAACATTATCCATCCATAGATTAGCCACAGAATAGTTGTTTTGTTCTGTTTTTAGAAAGAGAGAAGCATAAGGTTTACAGTAGTTTTAAAGTAAGGTCCTGGGTTCTGTATCTTATCAAAACACAGCAAATATATTCCTAGCCAGTAGATCTTCTGATTGTTGCCCCTGGACCAAAAGACATGAAGGAAAATTTTTCTCTCCCTGGTCTGTGTCAGCACTGTGTGAACATATGTCATAGATCAGGTCTGGAGGAAAGTTTTTGTTTTCCTTTTTTTTTTTTATTTCTGTGAATACTTGCAGTAAAACTTTTTTAACAGTTCATCTGTTCAAATTGTTTATTCCCTACTTGCAGTTTTACTAATCCTTATTTTTTGTGACATCATAATGATTTCCACAGCAACCAGTTGTAAGATTGCAAACAAAGGATTATGACTTCAGGTGCAGAATGAATGGACAAACTCTTAAGAAACAGGTTTTCAGACAAATGATCCTATTAATAAAGAACAAGGGGTTTGGATAAAAACCCCCAAACAGATGATGTGCAGTACTGACAGAGGTGATTCAAGCTGAAGTGTTGTTAGGATTTCCTGTGAGACTATAGTATTGTTTGAAAGCCATAAAAGTACATGAATCTGCAAGAAATTATTTTTTCATCTCTTTAGAAATAGTCAAGTTCCTATTTAAAGCTGCTGTGTTTGTCAGAACAAAGTTACCTCTTGACTTGTTTCAAAAACACCCAAGCCCCCAAGGTGTAACTATTATTGAAAAGACACTATTGCTTCCTCAATGACTTTGTTTGAGTGTCATCCATGTGTAGGTGAGATCCATAATGAGCTTTGTGCAAAAGCTTCCTCAGATTATCAGCAGCAAACGTTTTTGATGAACTTCATTGCATTCACAGTTGGAATGAAGGGACATGGTGAAGGAACTCTACTGCCAGCAATTTTATGCTTGATGATGTTTCCTACATCCAACTTCACTTTTGTATTTGCAGCTCTTCCTCCTCTTCTGCTGCTTAGTAGGACTCAAAAACCCTTCA